AGATTCCTGAGGAAAAGGGAACCTGTGGAGAAGAAAAAGATGGATAAAAGTTGAGGGACCCTAAGCAGATAGTCCCCGTTTTCTCAGTGGACAGAAGAAGGCAAGGCCACCTCTGAGACTGAGGAAGCAGATTCAGGATGGTGCTTGAGGAGACAACAGAAGGTCTCTAGTGGTTGAGAGAAGGCAGTGGTCAAAAAATGGATAAGGAGCTGCCCTGAAAGCCCAAGTCAAAATTTAAAGCATGCCTCTGTAGATGCCCTAATCCTCACATCAAGCGGTTTTCTGAGGGTGGTTCTTTGAGTGGGGCATTTGGGTGCAGAAGGCAGAGCATGGCTGCAGCAGGTAGACAAGGAGCCTGGTTCCTACTGGGTCTGGCGGGGAGGCCAAGAAAGGGCGCCCCAGAGGGAGCTGACCCGGGTAGAGAGGAGGGAAGGCGTCTGAGAGATGAGGTCCTGAAGCGGTGAGGGTGGTTTCTTAGTGGCTCAGACGGTAAAGAATCTGCCTGCAATGCAGGAGACCTGGGTTCAATCCCTGAATTGGGAAGATATGCTGAAGAAGGGAATGGCAACCCACTCTAGTCTTCTTGCCTGGAGAATTCCATGGACAGAGGAACCTGGTGGGCTACAGTCCATGGGGTTGCAAAGAGTCAGACATGACTGAGCGACTTTCACATTCACAGAGCCTCCAGGCAAGTCACAGCCCTTCTGCTTTACCGGAAGGAGAGACCCGCCCCCCCACTACCGGGTCCCACATCACCCCAACACGCTTCAAGAGCTTCCCTCCCCTCCCAAGGGACTTGCTTCTGTGCTGCCTCTGAGTGTGCTTGCCTTCAGGCTGGGGTGCAGTGTAAACACAAAGGGCTGTATGCCACAATCTGAGATGAAAGCACAATTTTTAAAAATTCGGGTAAAATTCACAGAACAAAAAGTGAACCCTTTTAAAGTGCAAAATTCAGTAGCATTCAATCCGTTCACAATGTTTCGCAACTAAAGCAGAACCACAAAAGGAAACCCACATCTTGGTCATCAATCAGTCATTTTCTATTCCTGTCCCCCCACCCACCCCAGCCCCTGGCAAACACTAATCTGCTTTCTGTCTCTATGGATTCACCTATTCTGGTATCTCATCGAAATGGAAATACAATATGTGACCTTCTGGTTGTTTCCACCTTCTGGCTACTATGAATAGTGCGGCCAGAAACGTTGGTATACAAGTATTTGTTTGAGTATCTGTTTTCTGTCCTCTTGGGTACACATCTAGGGAGAATTGCTGAGTCATATGGTAATTCTATATGTTTAACTTTTGGAGGAACCACTAAACTGTTTTCCACAGTGTCTGCACTGTTTTACATCTCTGCTAGCAAGGTACGAGGGTTCCAATTTCTACACATCCTCACCAACACGTCATTTTATAGGATTTTAAAATATATAAACAACCTAGTGGGTGTGAAGAAGTAATCTCTATGATTTCCGACTTGCATTTCTGTAATAATTAGTGATGCTGAGCATCAATTCATGTGCTTTCTGGACATTTGTATATCTTCTTTTGAGAAATGTCTATTCAAGTCCTTTGCCCATTTTAAATTGGGTTTTCTTTTTGTTGTTGAGTTGTAAGAGTTTTTCATATATTCTGGTTACTGAGCCCTTATTGTATATGAGAATCACAAACATTTCCTCTCATTTTGTAGTTGTCTTTTGTTCTGTAGTGTCCTTTGAGGCACAAAAGTTTGTAATTTTGAAGAAGTCAAATTTTACTTTTTCTTTTGTTGCTTTTGTTTTTACTATCATATCTAAGATTCCATTGCAAAATTCAAGGCCATAAAGATACACCCATATATTTCTTCTAAGAGTTCTATAAATTTAACTCTTATATTTAGGTCTTTGATCTATTTTGAGTTAAATTTAAAAAAAAATTTATTTGTTTATTTGGCTGCATTGGGTCTTAGTTGTGACCAGAGGGCATTTGGAATCTTCCCAGACCCAGGATTGAACCTACATCTCCTTCATTGCAAGGCAGACTCCTCCACCACTGGGCCACCAGGGAAGTCCTTGAGTTAACTTTTATACATGCTGTGAGGTAGGGATGAAAGTACAAACTTTAAATCCATGATCCTTCATAGTATTTTTTTATTTACACTAGCTTCATATATTAGATCAGTTATGTAAATAACCTCAGCATTTTCATATTTAATATTTTCAGTTTATCCTTAGAGTGACCTCAAAAGTCAGGGCACATGATCACTGCACTGTTCCCAGAACTTACATTTGGATCCACCAGGCAATAAAGCAGGTGTGCAGAAGTAAATCTCTAAGCAAATAGTTGAGCTTAGTTGGCTCCATCATCTCCTGACTCCTGATCCCTCAATGTCACCTCAAGTTCAGATATTCTCATTAAAGACTTGAAGGGATCAAATAAATTAAAAAAACTATACTGCATATGATATTCAGGAATGGTATTAGCAAAATCATATTTTTTTGGTGACAAATTTCAGCATAGCTTCAACCCTTGGGGTGGTCAAGCACAGGCTGGATAAATATCCATTAAGAAAGAAGAAACAGAGAGAAGTCTCAGGCTTGCAGAGAGGGAAGGAGCATCTTTCTGCTAGCAAAGGCTGCCTCTGAAGCTGAACTCCGAACCTACTGCAATTATCTGACTCATTTATAATCACCTGTCCTTATATAATCTCCACTGTCTGCAGTACACCAATCATTAGTCAACTGCTCTCATGCTAATGCAGTGATTCACTGTGATGAGGAATCCAGGAATTTGCAGGACCTGGAATTTTCAAGGCTGTTGCTAATAAAATGCCTACCAGAGGCCAGGATGTGCTGCAGGGAACTCTGGGGCTGGCAGCCACCTGCTTCTATATCTCCCCCTGAGGAGATGCCCTGTGGACACACTGATGACTGGTTTATCTTCCATTTAGATGTTCTTTTCCAGACTATAGTTATCTTAAACAGAGCAAGTCAAATGGTATCTGAAGCTGTTGCCAGGGCAACATGACAAAAGACTTTACCCTTGCTACTGTATATGTAATTTGTCAAAGGCAGCTGGTTCACAGAGAGAGGAAAGAGGGGAACAGGTGGTTAGTTTTGGTCTTTGAAAGAAGAGTTGAAAGACTATCTTCTGGTTAAATCAACTTTAGAAGAGGAAAGCAGTTGTGACCTATGTAATAAAAATTCAGAAAAGTCAGGTTGGGAAGGCTAAGAGTGCAAACCTTAAACTTTCCTTTTTTTTCTGGTGATATCTGTAAAATAGTTACATGTCAGGGCTTTCAACACCAAGCTGCTTGAAGGCCTAGAGCTGAAAGTATTCCCTGAAGGGAAAGAACTGAGAGAGAGAGCAAGAAATTGAAGAAAGCAAGTGAGATATTCAAGTAGGACAGATGGTTAGGAAGTTGGGAGTTCTTTTTGTTGTTGTTGTTTTAAACTTTTTATTTTGTATCAGGGTATAGCTGATTAACAGTGTTGTGATAGTTTCAGGTGAACAGTGAAGGGACTCAGCCATACGTATCAGTTCAGTTCAGTTCAGTCGCTCAGTCGTGTCCAACTCTGCGACCCCATGAATCACAGCACGTCAGGCCTCCCTGCCCATCACCAACTCCCGGAGTTTACTGAAACCCATGTCCATCAAGTCGGTGATGTTATCCAACCATCTCATACTCTGTCGTCCCCTTCTCCTCCTGCCCCCGATCCCTCCCAGCATCAGGGCTTTTTCCGATGAGTCAACTCTTTGCATGAAGTGGCCAAAGTACTGGAGTTTCAGCTTTAGCATCAGTCCTTCCAATGAACACCCAGGACTTATCTCCTTCAGGATGGACTGGTTGGATCTCCTTGCAGTCCAAGGGACTCTCAAGAATCTTCTCCAACACCACAGTTCAAAAGCATCAATTTTTCAGCGCTCAGCTTTCTTTATAGTCCAACTCTCACATCCATACATGATCACTGGGAAAACCATAGCCTTGACTAGATGGACCTTTGCTGACAAAGTAATGTCTCTGCTTTTTAATATGCTGTCTAGGTTGGTCATCACTTTCCTTCCAAGGAGTAAGTGTCTTTTAATTTCATGGCTGCAGTCACCATCTGCAGTGATTTTGGAGCCTAGAAAAATAAAGTCTGACACTGTTTCCACTGTCTCCCCATCTATTTCCCATGAAGTGATGGGACTAGATGCCATGATCTTAGTTTTCTGAATGTTGAGCTTTAAGCCAACTTTTTCACTCTCCTCTTTCTCTTTCATCAAGAGGCTTTTTAGTTCATCTTCACTTTCTGCCATAAGGGTGGTGCACAGCCATATGTATACCTGGATCCATTCTCTCCCAAACTCCCCTCCCATCCAGGCTGCCACATAACATTGAGCAGAGTTCCATGTGCCATATAGTAGGTCCTTCTTGGTCACCTATTTTAAACATAGCAGTGTGTACATGTCCATTCCAAACTCTCAAACTATCCCTTCAAAGTTGGGAATTCTTGACACAACTGATAGTTCTTCTCTCCACACACCAGAAGCAGATAGCAGCCACTTGTTCAGGGACAAGTTATGTTATAAAGTTTGGACTGAGCTCAATCCACTCATGTTATCAGTGAAAAGCCAGGCTCATGAAAGATAACCTGCTTGAGGTTACCCAGCTAGGAAAGGGCAGAACTAAGCCAGAAGCCCTGCTTCCTGCTTCCCCGTGATCTTTCCACTTATCTGATGCCTCTGTTCTGTGAACATCAGTTTGTTCTATCTTTGAAAGAAGCACAACATGGACAGCTTTCAAAGTATGCTCCATGGAGTCAGGGGCCAAGCTTTGAGGGTGCTGGGCACCGCCTGCTCTCAAAGGAATACCTCCCTTTCTACTTTAATATCTATTGGGGCTCCACCTACAATTATTTAAGGGAAAAATCATTTTAAAAATCAGAAAACAAATAGGGTTGGATCATAACAAAGCTGACCCAGAGGTTCTGCCCCACTCTTTCCACCAAGCCCACCCTCCAGGACCCCTTGGACCTCCTTACCGAGTTGGTGCCGAGGATCTGCAGATTGGGTTTCTCCGACTCAAGCAGCTTGGCCACCATCTTGAGGAAACTCTCCACGAAGAGGTTGATGCTCTGGCAGTGACAGGCCATGAGCAGTTGGTCCAGCGCCTCCATGGCGATGCACACATATCTGGGGAAAGCAGCACCACCGCCATCACTCAGCCTCATGCTGAGTACTCAGTACTCATCACAAAGTACTCAGCCTCATCACTCAGTCACCTGCATCACATGTCTGGGACAACCTCGATGGCAGTGCAGTGACCACCTGGCAGCATCCAGCTAATACAGCTCTTCCCAGGTTGCCATGTCTGGACAGCTGCTCTATCCAGCCCAGCACGGAGAAGCAGAATGAAGCAGAGCTGCAAAGGAGCCTAGAGATGAATTCATCGAGCCCCTTACTTTACACACGAAGAATATGAGGACAGACAAGGTATACTGTTTCATGAGGAAATTTCAGCAGAAAGAAAAGCAAGCAAACCCTAATAACCTCTATCCTTTATTCACAATTCTACTTTCAGAAGCAGCAAAAAACAGGACTGAACATTCTGCTACCTGCCAGCCCTTTAACCACTTGGTAACAACAATCTCTTTTACCATGTTCTTTTCTTCTCCGTGCTAAAAATACTCAGTCCTGGGAATTCCCTAGCAGTCCAGAGGTTAGGACTCTGCATTTTCACTTCTGAGGGCCTAGATTCAATCCCTGGTCAGGAAACTAAGATTCCCACAAGCAGCGTGGCATGGCCAAAAAAAAAAATACATTACATTGAAAAAGTAAAAATACCCAATCCTTTCCAGGCTAGCCTTTGTAGAACAACCCCTAATTGTTGTCTTCTTCAATGCCTCTCTTAAATCCCAAGAAAAATGCCACAAATCAAATTCCTACTGAGAATTAGGGATGCATGCCTAAACTCAAACCCAACATTTATTCCACGATAGTGACATAATGAGCATATGGTCAGGTAAGGCATGTCAGGAAAGATACATCCCCCACTTACAAAGCATTTGCATTCTAAAGAAAGCAAAGCAGACATACACAGAAAAAGGTTATTTTTAACTTCTAATAAGCGAGCCTCAGCAAAACTAACCTGGTTAAAAATGTTATAGTTTTCATTAAGGAGTTAGGTGTTTGGGGCAGAATGCTAGATGTCTCCCCTGGAAACTATTTTTGCCCTTCTCACTGGTTATTTAGAAGTTTCTCTGAACTGTGGCTGTTCACCAGGAACATTTCCCAGCCTCTTCTGTGGCTAGGTGAGGCCACATGACTTAAACATTGCCATTAAAATGAGGGGGAGGGATGCAAGCAGTGTCGAGCATCACTTGCTTGAAAAACAGGCTTGCCCTGTCCTCTGAGTCCTCTCTTCTCTCTTCCTGCTGTTTGTGGAGTGGGAGCAACTGGATGGCCAGAGGTGAAAGTGCCAGATGACCTTGTGGAGCAGAGCCCACTGGCCCAGACTGGACTATTGCTTGAGAGAGAGAAAAAATACTTCTTTACTGCTGGTTGTTTTTCAGTCGCTCTGTCATGTCTGATTCTTTGCAATCCCATGGACTGCAGCACGCCAGGCATCCCTGTCCTTCACCATCTCCCGGAGCTTGCTCAAACTCAAGTCCATCGAGTTGATGATGCCATCCAACCATCTCATCTTATGTCACTCCCTTCTTTTCCTGCCCTCAATCTTTCCTAGCATCAGGGTCTTTTCTGAGTCAGCTGTTTGCATCAGGTGGCCAAAGTATTGGAGTTTCAATTTCAGCATCAGTCCTTCCAATGAACGTTCAGGGTTGATTTCTTGTACTGCTGGAGCCAGTATATTTAAGTCTCTTTATACCTAAATAACACAAGTATCTGATAATCAGATTTAGGAGTGCTTTAGCAACCTGAGGGCACAAATAAAAGTGAATCCTGAGCAATCCAAAGCAACTCACAGTCAAGAGAAGTAAGGGCTGAACATGACTCCATCCTGCAGGAGGGGGGAGTCACTTGAGACTCCGTGGATGAGGAGTGTGGCTCACGTGCCTATTAGAGGGCGGAGATCCCTCTACCTGCAGAGCCGAACCACATGGAACAGAAAAGTACTTCCTGATACAAACAAAATGCAGGCCAGACAGAGAGAGTGGACAACTCCAAACCTACCTGGGTGCTGAGGAGTCAGGCTGATGCCTGTAAGTCAAAGCAAGTAGGAAAAGGCCTCTCTTCAAGAAGCTGCCAGAGTCAGGTTTATAGGCCATGTGTATAATAGGGAACCAATTAAAAGATTTATTCTGAGGACCTCCCTGGCAGCCCAGTGGTTAAGACTCCAGAGTTTACCGCAGTGGGTGCAGGTTCAATCCATGGTGGGAGAACTAAGATCCTACCCATGCCAAAATAAACAAATAAGTAAAAATTGAAAACAACTTAAGATACTAGTGTCTTAAGTTATTAAAATCTTAAGATCTTGCAGACCCAAGCCTGGCACATTCTGGGTCCACTGTGTAGGTCATGAAGCAGGCTGACTCTTGCAGGGTTGAGGGAGCAGTCTTGGGTGGGGCCCTTCCAAAGGGCTGGCAGTGGAACAAGGACACATTCTGGCAATGAAACACAGCAGGTGGGAAATGGGAGCAGGCAGCAGCATGGAATTCTATTCTTCTATGAATCATCCCAGAGCATCCCAGGTGACACAGTGGTAAAGAATCCGCCTGCCAATGCAGGAGATGCAAAAGATGCAGGTTCAATTCCTGGGTTGGGAAGATACCCTGGCGAAGGAAATGGCAACCCACTCCAGTATTTTTGCTTAAAAAATTCCATGGACAGAAAAGCCTGGCAGGCTATGGTCCATGGGAGTCACAAAGAGTCAGACATAACATGAATCATCCCAGCGTCCTTCAATATGAAGGGTTTCACCATTATTTTACAGAGTTTAAATGAGGGAAAGGAAGGGATGGGGTGGGGTTTGGCAAAAGAAGAAACTAGAAGACCTCCCAAGCCCCAGAGTTTAGATTGCTGCTTTTCCTTTTCCTGTAAAAAATTCCCAGAAAATCCTGATAAGGAAAACTGTCCTTTGCTAGCTGGGGTGGGGGTGGGGGGTGGGGGTGGAATCGGCTACTTACCAGGAGTGGAAATTTTGATGCAAAGTGAAAACTATGGTAGAAGTGAAACTGAAAAGTAATGAAGTTTAAGGCCCCTTCTTTTTCTTGAAGATTTTTATTTTCTTTTGATGTGGATCATTTTTGAAGTATTATTGAATTTGTTACAATATTGCTTCTGTTTTATGTTTTGGCCTTTTGGCCAAGAGGCACGTGGGATCTTAGCTCCCCGACCAGGGTCAAACTTGAACTCTGTGCATTGGAAGACAGAGTCTTAATCACTGGACCACTAGGGAAGTTCTAAAGCCTAGTTATTTGAATACGTACATGCTGTGTGCTAAGTCACTTCAGTTGTGTCTGACTCTGTGTGACCCCATGGAATCTGTAGCCCGCCAGGCTTCTCTGTCCATGGAATTCTCCAGGCAAGAATATTGGAGCAGGTTGCCATTTCCTTCTCCAGGAGATCTTCCCAACCCAGGGATCGAACCTGCATCTCTTAAGTCTCCTGCATTGGCAGGCAGGTTCTTCACCACTAGCGCCACCTGGGAAGCCCCTTTGAATACACTCTCTTTCAATCCTCATCTTTAATCCTAACACTAGGGATGGAAGGGCTATAATTGAGAACTTAAACTTTTCAAAGTATCTTAGAAGACTAGAAGTTAATGGGATCTTGGAACCTCCTAGCCTAATGCTCACTGCTTTGGTCCTATCTTACCATAACCTTCCTGGGTATATCCTATGCTTTAAATCCATATTCTCAAAGGGAAGAGAGTATGGGTTTCTCAGGTGATGTTCACTGAGCAGGACTGGGACAGGGTCAGTCTCAGCAGAGATCTAATCTGAACTTGGGATCCTGGAAGGGGTCCAGTGTAATAATAGGTCTGAAAAACAGACCTGAGTTGTTAGAGCAGGGTGGGGAAGGTTGAAACTGGTGAAGACTAACCTACTGAAGGGGCCTAGGGGAGAAGGAGGCAAGAGCAGGGCACAGACCACAGCAGCAGGGGATGACCAAGGGTCTTGGATCCACTAGTAGGGCTTCTCAGCAGGTGGAGAAGGCAGAAATCAAGGAATCTGGGATGGACTGGAGTTCATAGGCAGTAACCGAGGTCAGGAGTAGCCAGTTAGTAGGTTACAACAACAGGAACTCAGGGTCATGGGCCAACCAAAGCAGAAGGTGAGTTATAACAACTGAGAAAAAGACGCAGGGGGCCCGGTGCTTGGGGAGAAGCAGGAAGTTCCTTGAATTGAATTCTAGAATAGGCAGCTGCTTCTGCTTCCCTGGTGGCTGGGATGGCAAAGAATCTGCCTGCAATGCAGGAGACTCCCTGGGGGAGGATCCCTGGGAGCAGGAAATGGCACTCCTGGAGAATTCTTTCCTGGAGAATTCCATGGATATGGGAGCCTGGTGGGCTACAGTCCATGGGGTCGCAAAGAGTCAGACACGACTGAGCTACTAACATGGTCACACTTTCTGCTTGAACACCTCTTATTCAGCAAGGAGTGGCCTTAGGACCCTCTGGGAAAGGAGGAGCCAGCATGCAAGGTCTGGGAACCAGACTTGGTTGGAAAGGAGTGCAGATCTAGGGTCAGAGATGGGGACCAGCCAGCAGAGAGAGGGGGCAGCTTTAGCTGGGCCAGTCATCACTTGAGAATCACTCAGAGCGCTGCAGCCTTGACAAAGAACCTCTCATTCTGGGCAGTCTGAATGTATGTAGTCAAGTCCCACCTACCGGACAGAAACTTCCTGGTTTTAGGAGCCCAGAAGCAGGGGTTGACGTCAAGGGAAGGAAGGATGAACCTTCCCGTCTGGTAGGAATCTGCAAATCTCTGTTGAAGGGTCAGCTCCACTAACAGGGTTCAGGGTCCCTCTGGGGACTGTGTATCTCTCGGGAGCCCCACTAAGTCAGTTCCAGGCCCAGGCTCCTGGAGAAGTAGCCCAACTCTTTTGGCATGGGTGTCTCCATCCTCCAGTCACTGGGAAACCTGACGATTCATTTTTTAAAATAATTTTTAAAAAACTGATTTATTTGGCTGCACCAGGTCTTAATTGTAGCATGTAGGATCTTGGATCTTCATTGTGACATTTGGGATTTTTTTTTTTTTCCTTAGTTATGGTGTTCAAACTCTTAGTTGCAGTATGTGGGATCTAGTTCCCTGACCAGGGATCAAATCCTGGGCCCCCTGCACTGGGAGCTTGGAGTCTTAGCCACTGGACCACCAGGGAAGTCCCACTCTGACAGACTCTAATGTGGCCTTCTACACATGGTCATTGCTCTGGGGTCACTGTCAGTCGACCCCGAGTCTCAACCACAACTGCTGTTACCTCCCTTGCTCTTCAGTTTCTAGGGGTGTTCTAGCAATTGGGCTGAACTGGAAGGAGGAAAATAGGAGGAATTCTTGCTTTTTGTTGCTCTGCGTCTCACTGTCCATCGTAGCCAACACCAAGGAGAAATACCTTGAAATTCTTATCTTATTCTCTCTCTGTCCACATTGAGTTATCACCCCTGATGCTAAACATGTGCCTATCGAGGAGGGTGGTTCTACCACTCGGTCAAACACCCAAAGTTCTCACTTATATGGTCAAATCAAAAACACAAACACGATGGCAGGGAGACAGCTCCTCACACCATCTCACCTGTCTGCAACTGAATATTCTGCTACTCCAAAGCTGCCATCAGTGATTAGGACAATGGTGATGAGTGTGGTAAGAAAAGGAAAACTGAGTGGGGTAAGGAAACTTGGGGAAGAAGCAGAAAGAGACCCAGAGAACAGATCTAACAGATTTCTCTTCTCCCAGTGTTTATGATTAGAGTCCCCAGTGAGGCCATCAAGGCTTTAAATACTTAGATGCTGCAATGGCTGTTTTTAACAGACTGATGCCAATTTTGAGTGACAGTTCTGAGGGTAGTGGAATGCTTCTAAGTGGCTCTGCAGGCTACAGGACATTTTTTACTGAGAGAACCATCACTGCAGAAAGGGCAGGCAAAATTAGTATTAAATGTTTAATGTCATTGCGTGCATATTAGTTTCAGGTTCAATCTAGGATAAAGATATTTTTACTGTACTTGCTTGAGCCTGCTTTATAATATGTCAAGGCGATTTATATAATCAGCATGTTCAGTATATTCATGCCCTTTTTATTGAGCATGTTAACCTAATTTTATTATATTAATAGAAAGGGATCATAGAAATGAATTGCTTTCAGTCTTGCTTTTCTATCAGGGATAGCCTGATGTAAGAGTGGCTAGTGGGTCCTGTGGAGGGTGGACCTCTATACACTGTTGGCACAGTGAAGACTTTCACCCTCTGGTTCTCACTCCACCTTCCTCATCAGGGGGAAGGGGCCTTGGAGGGTGGTGGGGGTGACAGGTGGTAGCTGGGGGGCAGGACAGAGAGGGTCCAGGGGGGTGATCACTGCAAAAGCACAGAGGCCAGAGGGTGAGGAGGCGGGTTGTTAGCTAGTCCATCTGGAGTAGGTGGAGAGCAGCTATGGCAGGTGTGGTGGGTTTGCCTGGGGTTAAAGGCAGTTTGGGGCTTCCTTTGTGGCTCAGTGGTAAAAAAAATATCCACCTGCAATTCAGGAAACACAGGAGATGCAGGTTTGATCCCTGGTTCAGGGAGATCCCCTGCAGGAGGGCATGGCCATCCACTCCAGTATTCTTGCCTGGAGAATCTCATGGACAGAAGAGCCTGGCATGCTGTCATCCATAGGGTTGCAAACAGTCGGACAGGACTGAAGTGACTGAGCACGCACGCAAAGGCAATTTGGGGGCAGGTCGTGGAAGACCTTAGAAGTCAGGCTGAGGAGCTTGGATTGGAAGCTAAAGGAGCCAGGACAGTATAGCTTTGGTTCTGTGTTTTGAAGATCATAGCTAGCAGTATTGACCCGGAAGGGCCAGAACAGGAATGATGGGAAGCAGGGAGACTATTTCCAAGGCCACTGCAGTAACCCGGAGTCTGCACCAGGAAAAAGGTGGGAGCAGAGGAAAGTAGAGGATGGATATAAAAGGCTTCATGGAGAATAGAACCAATGGGACTTACAAACAACTGCCCTGGATCTGCTTTTCCCTCTGTCCCATCAACAGTGCCACCAGAAACATCTTAGTGTCCCCCTTTATACCTACCCCACTCCAGACTGTGACATTAACAGACATGTCTCTCTTGCAGTTGACTTTTTTCATTGAGGACCCCAAGTATTGCCCTAAAAATATAATATTATATAATTTCTGAAAATCTCTCTCCTCCTCTCACACTACTTACCCATATCGATGACGACCCACGTCACGGATGAGCCTCTCAGAGAGGTAGGCGCCAATGCGATCAAGCTTTTCAGGAGCTGAGAGGGCGTAGAAGGTCAGCTTCTCCATGTTGGTCTTCACCAGGCCATCCTGTAAAAGACAGGTAATCCTCACTGGGGCCATGTGATGGCTAGAGGAGTTCAAGTCCAAAGGTAAGTGATCATTCAATTTAATCAATTTACCAGAGTTCCCATCATGTATGTGACAGGTAACATGTGGGTTTCGGGGATACAGAGATGATTAAAACATAGACCCCACTCTCTAGGAGCTCACAACTTAGCCCAAAGTATGCTAGCTATAAATAAAAATAGTAAGTGATAGAAATGTACATATGTATGTGCATATGTATATGATATGGGTTTACACACTTATATGTATATGCTCATGAATATATATATATATGTGTGTGTGAAAGCATGTGTATATGGATGGATGACAAGACTTCAATGAAAGCAACCCAGAATTAAAACGTTTTGGATCTCCAAAACCAAGAAGTAAATAGAAAGAAGGCAGCGCTATAGCTTTCGGGGAATTGTCCAGAGGATGCTGGAAATGTAACCCCCCCACACCTGCCCATCAAGAAAGGCCACTGATTTCCAGAGAGCAAATCAAGTACATCAAACCTTGACATTTCTGAAACCACACGACCCACATTGCAGTCTAACAGTTGAGTGGCGGCTTGGAAAACCAAGAAACCAGGCGCCTCGTGTGCCCACCTGACACCTGGCAGATACCAGAGGGAGCACATAGGAGACCATGAGCTCTAGAGCCAAACCCAGGAAGGGAAATGCTCACACCTGACGTCAGGGAAATAGTACCCTCCAGAGAGTTAGCAGCTCCAGGAACTATCACCCAGAGAGAGACGAGTGAGTAAGGTGCTCAGCAGCGGCCAGAAGCACCAAGACAAACTTCTGAGCCCTCGGCAGATCTTGCCTTCAGAGGGGTTCGAAGCTCCTCAGCCTTCACTTCCAGCTGCCTCTGGTCATTGACAGGGCTATGGCTGTGGTTCCAGGCTGAGGGACCCTGGGGGGCTCGCCTCCCCTTGTGGCCCTGGTCGGGTGAGATGGTGAGGGGCACTCTGGCGCCAGGAGATGGACCCACCTCAGGATCCTCAGGGAAGATGTTGTCCACCAGCCTTTTGTACCTGGGGCGCAGGGCACCGCAGCAGCCGCACACACCTGGAACAGGAACGAGAATGCCCTGTGAGCTACGCCTCCCGGGACCAGGCTAGGCGGCTTCTGAGAAACCAAATCCAGGCTGGAAACAGAAGGGTCCCTCCCTTAGAGCACCAGGGCCTCAGTCCTTCCTGCTGTTTCCCCGCCCCACTCCCACTCTAAGACATTGCCTTTCTTGTTTGGTGTCTTTTGCTTGGGGATCAGGCATAGGTGCCAGCAGATCAGAATTTGTTCAGGAAACCGGGCCATCGAGCACACGTGTGTGCGCACGCACACACACACATACATACACTCACACACTCTGGGCCAAGACTATATAAAACTGCCTCTTGCAGCCCAAGACTCTTCCCCAGGTCCTGGGAGATCGTCCAGCTGGGAAGAGCAGTTACTCCACCTACTCCACCCTCTCGCTTTCTGTCCATTTCTCCACTCTGGTCCTCAATCTCCTTTATCATCCTCTCTCCTGGGGCCATTTCTATTATAGAATGTTCTGTGAAACTATGATAAATTAACATTGCCATTAATTATTAACCTTTGAAAATGCATCTTTAATACAATGAGACCACGGTGTTTGAAAGCCGTGGTCTTTGAAAGCTGGAGGGCTTCCGGGGGCCACAACACCAGCCCTCTCCCACCGCAGATTCTCACCAGTCTGGGGCCAAACAAAAGCTAAGAATGACGTGGGCTTCCTTGGTGGCTCAGTGGTAAAGATTTCACCTGTAATGCAGGAGCCATAGGAGACTCAGGTTTGATTCCTGGGTCAGGAAGATCCACTGGAAAAGGTAATGGCAACCCACTCCAGTATTCTTGCTTAGGAAATCCCATAGAGGAGCCTGGTGGGCTACAGTCCACGGGGTCACAAAGAATTGGGCACGACTGAACTGACCGAGCGAAAGAATAATGTACGTTTTCAGAAAGCTGCAGACTGACGTGAGCTCCTTTGTGAGACAGTGTTAGGAAATCAGTGATAATAGAACAAACCTTGGGAAAATAAAAAGTTGATGATTCTAGAGGTCCCACCGTAAAAAGTTTTCAATTAGAACCACTGCGCTTTTCTTCCCTTTCATCCTCTGCAGACACCTTCCTTGGCAGATCCCAGCTGTACCCTCCCAGAATTGGGAAGGGGAGCAGTGACCCCTGAGGGAGAGGAGAGGATAGCAGGGAAGGGCCTGGGAAAGTCCACCCGCTTCCAAAATAATTGCCTTCTCACTCTACCAATTAAACACTTAATTTTGTTTGTACAAATGCTCTACTTGAAATGCAAAAGTGCCCTGGAAGAATCAAGCCTACGGGTCATTCAGAGAAGAATGAACTACTTTAGTGGGAATTACTTTAATCACACAAAGAGCCACAAAGAGCTTTACAGCGGAGAGAAAAGCGGCTGGGGGGCGGAGCAGGGGTGGGGGTGGGGGGACCTGGACTGGGAGGGGGTCGGGGGTGGGCGGCACCACCAGGAGGAGGAAGGAACGGAGCAATCTAGGCTCCCAGGGAGACTCAGGTGTTAGGGGATGGGCGAGTCCCTGGGGAAACGGGGGCACTCCAAAGGCAGGATATCAGATTTCTGATATCAAGGGATCACCAGGGTCCCAGTGTGTCCCCCAGTCCCCCACCCACCCCAGGCACAAGGAGGATGGTGGAACCAGTCCATGGCTGCACACTGGCCTCTGGGTTCCATCTTTCTGGGCTGAACTGGCACTGGCATCACCTCATCTCCTCCCTGCCCGCCTGGGAGAAGGTGTGAGGGCTCCAGCTGGCTGGCATCCAGGGCTATCTCTTGTGATGGGGCAGCTCCCTGGGGGGACCCTGACCCCAAGGCTCAGGATTGAAACCTGCCCTTGGGCCCTCTACTCAGAGCAGCCATCACTGCACTTCTTCTAGGATGCCCCGGAGCACGGGCCCTGCACGCTAAAACAGCAACATGGACCTGTTTGCATCTTCAAGGGAGTCAGAACTAGAGACAAGGAGAAATTAGAGCCCCCAAACCCTCCAATGTCCATCCCATTTTCAAACCTTTCTGAAGGACCCATGAGCTGGGACCTGCCTTGCACTGAGGCCAAGCTCACGGTTCTTAGAAACCCGGACTTGTCTGAGAAAGCACAAGCCTATTTTGGGTACTCGGGGTAGAAACCTCGGTGCAGGGGACCCTTTTCCAGCACAGAGGCCCCCAGAAGCCATAAGGCAGGGGGAACCTATCATATGGAGGCCCGGGCATTTCCCTTCTGCGGGGAGAGGTGAGAAGACCGAAGAACAAGAGAGGTGAGTAGGTGCCCGGTCAGCAGAGCTGCCCTGCTTCTGGGTGCTTCCGGACCTACAGGCTTCCCCGGTGGCTGAGACGGTAAACAATCTGCCTGTAGTGCAGGAGACCCGGGTTCAATCCCTGGGTCAGGAAGATCGCCTGGAGAAGGAAATGGCAACCCACTCCAGTATTCTAGACTGGAGAATCCCATGGACAGAGGCTACAGTCCATGGGATTGCAGAGTCGGACACGACTGAGCAACTAACTTGACCTACACCCTAGCAATTCCTTCTTGTCCACACTTTCATTCCAGCCTCCTCTGACCCCTGGAGGGCAGGGGCTATTTGAGGCCAAGTGGGCAACAGCATAAGTTTCCAATCAAATCCTGGCACTGCCACTTCCCAGATGTGATGCTGCGCAAGGAGTGGCATTCTGTGGGTGTGGGTGTCCTGGTTTAGCGCTTGGGGTTTCTGTGAGGCCAAAGCGAGTTTATGCTGCAAAGCACTCAGGGCAGATCACCACCAGCCGCCCTCCCCTCCGCGTTCCCCAGCCCAGGGCGGCAGAGCCGTCCCCAGACTGCCAGCTGGTCCACGCTGGCTGGTACCTCTAGTGCAGCTTCCCCACCATTCACTTACTCAGTAACGGTGACCAACTGGAGGCCTAAGAAGTGAGAGTCCCAGAACATTCTTCAGAAGACCTAACCTCACTGGCCTATGGGTCTGCAATGATAACGACCTCAACCTCCAGTCACTGCCGGCCGGCTTCTCAAAGTCAGCATTCCCGAACTGCAGCAGCCTCAGCACCAGCTCCACAAACCTCAATGCAAATATGACATATTTCCAGCATACACAACAGACCAGAGTCAAATGCTGTTGAAAGATAAAGCAAGAGGCTCACTGGAGAGAACCCACGGGACTGGCTGGCTGTTGGAGGGTCACCAGGAGAGCAGCCGTGGTGGGTAACTAACAAGCACTCTTCAGAAAAGGGTCTGAGGATGAATAAATCTATGAAACCATGCACACCAAATCCCCCATTTTAGATTCGCAGGCAAATAAGCTTACAAAAGCCTCTGAAAAGTCATAAGGCAAAGAAATCTATTTAAAATTTCAAATCAACATCTCCCCATTTTCCACTGTTATAAATAGCAACACGATGAATACTTTTAATATTCTTTTTTCAAGGCATATGTATTGCCTACTATGTGGGAGGGCTTTCCAAGTGGCGCTAGTGGTAAAGAAACTGCCTGCCAATGCAGGAGATGCAAGGGACACGGGTTCGACCCCCTGAGTCAGGAAGATCCCCCAGAGGAGGGCATGGCAACCCAATCCAGTATTCCTGCTTGGGAAATCCCATGGACATAGGAGCCTGGCAGGCTACAGTCCATAGGGGTTGCAAAGAGTCAGACACAAGCAACTTAACATGCATGCACTAGATGGGAACAGAAAGCTATACACTACTGTAAACAGAGTACATTGGAAACAGTGCTATTTTTTTAAGGTCTTAAATAGGATTTTATTTTAGAATATAAGAAATAATTAAAATAAGTGGATTAAGTTTGAAACTTAGCAAAATGAAAAGAGAAACACAGAGTTAAAATATGAGAAGATGTTAAGGAAACAGAAAACAAATAGCAAAATAATCACAAAATATAACCTCATTATTTGAAAATACTCATAGGCAAACACCAAAAGATACATCAAAGAAAAAGAGATATACCAAATAATAAGTTTAGGAACAAAAATGGAACATACACAGGGAGAAGAGTGTTGAAAAAGGAACACCAGTAAATGTGAATATCAGATGAAATGGACACTTTTTAAAAAGTGTAAAATTAGTGAAATTGGCCCAGTAGTATACTTGAATAGACCAAGACCAGAAAAGAAATCCAAATGGTATTATTGATCTGTCTCTACAGAAGGCACCAAGGTGACTGTTGTCAACTCTTCAAACAACAGGGGTTATTGGTGGCAATTATGCTCCATAGAGTCACTATTAACAGAAATAATGCTAATTTTGGAGTTTAAAAGGTTTTGAGTTTAAGTCCCAGTTCTGCCATTTGATCTTTGAGACTCAGTTTTCTCATTAATATAATAAGAGAAGATTTCCATCTAAGGTACAATCCTATGATTAAAGTCCCAGACCATGTGCAATAGAATCTAGAAAGGGAGAAAACACCTTGAACTCTGCTGGTTGGGGGAAGGCTTTTCAGGAGAGGACAGACAAGAAGATGAGGGGCAGGAGTCACAGGGCAGTGGCTGCTTTACTTCTTATGTTCCAGTTCAGCTCAGTTCAGTTCAGTTGCTCAGTCGTGTCCGACTCTTTGCGACTCCATGGTCTTCAGCATGCCAGGCTTCCCCATCCATCACCAACTCCAGGAACTTACTCAAACTCACGTCCATTGTGTCAGTGATGCCATCCAACCATCTCATCCTCTGTTATCCCCTTCTCCTCCCACCTTCAATCTTTCCCAGCATCAGGGTGTTTTCCAATGAGTTGGTTCTTCACATCAGGTGGCCAAAGCATTGAGATTTCAGCTTCAGCATCAGTCCTTCCAATGAATATTCAGGACTGATTTCCTTTAGGATGGACTGGTTGGATCTCCTTGCAGCCCAAGGGACTCTCAAGAGTCTTCTCCAACACCACAGTTCAAAAGCATCAATTCTTCAGTGCTCAGCTTTCTTTATGGTCAAACTCTCACATCCATACATGACTACTGGAGGAACCATAGCTTTGACTAGACGGACCTTTGTTGGCACACTAGATGGAC